GTGGTTAACGCCCAGAAAAATTAGGTAGGGATCTGCGGCCCGCTTCCCAAAACCCTTACCCTATCTATGACCAAAATCTGCGACATTCCCGACCTGACCGAAAATTCGAAATCCTATTTACGACCTAACCCTTAAATCAAAACCCTGTTTCAGACCCGCGTTATAATTAGTTCCCTAGTTCAGCCCAATGTTAAATTACCGTACATCATTTGTGAGGGGCTTTTGTTGATTTTGTTTTCGATAATGATGGAAAAGTGACTTCTTCTTAAAAACATACCCATATCAAGGCTAGAGTGCAAGCATCATACCCCATTAATGACCAAAACAGCAGAAAAACCATACCCTTTGGGGCCGCACATACCTATATAGCCCATATAAGAGAGTACCCCCCCCGGATCCTTTCCCAAAGAAGAATAAACAGCACCCGTGAAAGAGACTATGTCCTGACCCGCTCTTCAAACTATGTAGCTTGTCGTGCAGACGACTACTACAGTGAGTGTTATTTCAAATAAGCTATCGTAGTTTCGTTAAGCAGCCATATCTCATTTTGATTTTAGGCCAAAATGGTCAATTCTCACGGAGTGGGGGGAGGGGGAAAGGCGGAAATTAGTGACAGGGCCCGGGCAGGTGAGACTGCTAGATTCAAACCAGGCATAATAAGAAGTCCCATTTTTCTCGGCAGTGAATAAACTAAGAAACTAGCTATGGATGGATGTTGCATATACACGGGCTTTGGACCACCCATGATCCACTTGATAAAGACCTTAATTACCGTACGCTTTTGGCACCAAATTTTTGTGGGTTTAGCGGGTATTTTGTTTTTACAGAAAAAAAATTTTCTATTGTAACAGCGAATCCCGTTTAATAGGATCTCAAGCTTTCGTTCATGTTTTGCAAGCGGCAAATTGAATCCGCGAGTTACTAAGCCGGCTTCCCATGGCATGAAACCAAACCATTGCTGAAGGACGCGAAAAGCCGGGGTAGACTATAGCTACGAGAAGGGCCTCTTTCGCTTAGTCCGTCGTGCGTACATGATGCAAAAGAAAATTGCGAAAAAAGAAATAACCGCGCAAAATCCTGGGGATTTCAGGCGGCCATTTTTTCCTCGCGGTTTTCTTTCGCGTCACAACGGCACGAGGGACAATTATACAGCGAAAGAGGGCGTATTCATGAAGGAGATGGGAAAGGGAGAGAGAGACGTTTTTCTTATTCCCCACCGCCTTCCATTTTACTCCACCTACCACACAGGCTCAGCACAGTGCGACATAAAACAATTTACGGATTGAAAAGTTTTTCTCGGATTTGCCAAGGATTAAAGATGAAGCTTATCGAGGTGATAAGCTTCTGATTAAACTTATCGCTTTAAAAAAAAAAATGGGGGGATTTGGGGACAATAGAAAGAGATTTGCCAAAGCGTCGCTGAAAGTGCATGGAGTTCTGCTGCAAAGACCACCCAAAATAAACAGAGAGCTTTTGAAGACAGAGATTCCGGTAGCCCTGACTTCCAGTTGCCACAGAATTCCCCGTCTTTTCCCCGATAAAAATAAAATTTCCCTGACCACTCACAAGTACAAAATGTAAGAAATAGAAGCGGCTTCTAGCCTCCCTTTTCACCCATTCATTCAAGACTGATTTTTCCTTCTTCATTAAGGAAAGCCACCGTTGAAGTCACAGTGACCCCAAATGTTTCTTCCCGCCATCAATGGTCAGATCAAAGCAGCCGTGTCAAATTATCTCCAAGTTCCCTGACCGAAAGTAAAATTCCCTGACTTTCCCTGACCTTGACGAGTTTTTTCCTAGACCATTTCCTGACCAGTTGCCCCCCCTGCATGACACTTAAATGGTCATATGCACGAGATGCGAAGTAGCTAAGCCTGTGGCGGATCTAGGGGAGGGGCCCGGGAGGCCCGCCCCCCTTTACTTTGGGTAAAAAGAAAACAAAAGAAATCACAGAAGCAAGAAAAGCCGGCAGGGCAAGCAAAACAAAACCGCTCCCCACCCCCGCCCCGTAGCTCAAGGTCTGGATCCGCCACTGCAAGCTAACAGTTTCCCTAGAGGAGCTCAATCACAGCATTTCAAGCTGTTTAAGCCACGCACAAAATTACTTTTTAATTGAAGGAAAGCTGAAAATAGGACTTTCCTAAGACAGAAAAACACCAGAGATAATAATAAACCACAAAGGAACAAGAAGATTAACACGGATTACAAACGACGAGCTTAAGTTTAGGCTAAACTTTCCAAGACACGCAAACCGTGACATAGCTCCTTTTTAAATATTATTGCCATTTTTTGGCAAGACTGGACACCCTAAAATACCACGGTACTTAGCAGAACTTTGCTTACACAAGGACTATTTTTAGCGCCATTTTCGTGAAAACATTACAAAACAACAACTAACCAAGGTTGCTAAAACTATTGGGTATTTTATTAACAAGCTATTTAATTACTCCGATTAGGCGAAGCAAAAAAAGGTCAAAATATACACAAAGCTATAAGAACATAAAATACACCGGGTCACTGGTCAAATGACTTTACTCGATGAGTCCTAGACAACCTGAAAATACCTTTGTACAAAAAGGAGGTCCTTTGGTAGAACTGAGGGCGCTAACTACAGCGCTGAGCGGTTTACAGTCAAAACAACATGTAAACGAGGCGGTTGAGTCATGCCGGTGACCCAATGCCTCGTTTGCATGTCTTTCTTGCACAACTGAACGCTTGACTATGACTGCAGGCTCAATTGAAGGGCAACGGTCGTATTGCACTCGCGTTTGTGACAGAAAGTGAGCTTTTCACATCCGGTATCGTCCCGGAACGACAGAAGTCACGATAATAGTAGGGAAGACTTTTTTCCGCCGTCGCCAACGTGGAGAGTGTTGGTTGCCAACCACATGGCTATTCTCTAAAGATTATTGTCATTAACACCTTGCGTTACCTCGGTACCAATAACACCAAAACAACATACACCCTCTCTGAAAGGTCACGCGTCACGAAACTACACTTGGCCGTTACCACTAGTTCAGCGTTACAGTTTCTTTGTTTACAGAAAGCTAAATGGGACACACACAGGCTCCTGCCAAGTTAGAGGCAAATGTTTTAGGGTGTCATTCGGTTTTGCTTACTGTGTTTGGCAAAATAAAGCTGTCTCAGTAGATCAGGCTGACGAACTTTGAGAAAGAAAACACTCTTTCTGTAAGCAAGACAAATTAAGTTTCAAAACAGTTCACATGCAAACTAAAGAAGTGTGTGTTACACCAAACACGTCAAGCTTAACATAGTTTGTCCTTTGCAAGCTGTAAGGATAAGCCTCCGCAGACCCGTTTTCATGTACAATAACACTAGACGCGCGAGACGCGCGAGACGCGAAGCGCTAACACGCGCGTGCAAACGCGTGACCTCTATTCTATCACCTTGTTCGCGATTCCCCCGTTCTGGTTTACATCTCAACATCTATTTTGTCCTTACAATTACAAATTATCTTTTAAGGGATAGTCTTAATGTACCCTTAATTTCTCAAAACTAGCGCTCAGAGAATCCCTGACAGTCGGTTAGGAGAAGTAACATGTTGATAGCCTTTGGATTTCACTCTGCAGAGTACTAGGCAACTGTTTGGCAGTAGACGACAAGACAGATTTCCGCGCCAGTCCAACCACAGAAAACTGAAAGTGCTGTTGTATGACGAGTATCAGCATCTAACCATAATCATATGGACATTAACATGGGTGTCTGAAGTAACGCAGCGCGCGTGACGGCTGGCTGTAGTGTCACGCCACATAGTGGTACTGGTTGGGGAACTCCTTGTCTCTTTCCATGTAGTCGCGCTCTATCAGGCTTTCGATGCGTTTCTTGAGATCTGTAGGCTGCAATGCACACAACAGAAAGGTTACGATTTAAAAAGGAGAAATGTTCACCCTGGTCGACGGGTCACCCTTCACACCAACCCTAACCGACAGAATTTCACACAAAAGGTGGCTCGGATGCTGGGTGATACTGGATGGAGGTTCACTTAGTTGGAAGGTAGGATAACCCTTGTGGGCGAGCCAACTTGTTTTCCGAGTAAACACTTCGCATATGTTTGACTCGCCAACCAAAGGGACAAATGGAACATATAAAGCACGAGTTCACTCACTTAACAGTAAATCTCAGTTCTTGAAGTGGAACAAATGAAATAATAACAGAACGAATTTTCAAGCACGTACACTTGCTTTAGAGTTGACTCATAAATTTCCAGCTTCTAGTACTGAGAGGCTCAACATTGCATTGCATTTGTTTTCTCACAATGCAGCTCTAACCGCTGTTCCTGTCGCACTAATGTGTAGTATTTTATACAAAGTGTAGCTCAGTTTTGGAACAGCGTTTAAACGGCGAGAGGAAACACAGGGGACGGGTGCGGAACGGAAAAGCGGTGCTTCTTGTCCCAAGCCCGTTCCCTGTTATTTCTCTCCCCAATTTCCGCGCTCCCAACTAACCCAGCGCCTGGGAGATGGTACACGGCAAGACGCACTTGCCTCGCTTCAACAAAAATCCTAAGATGACTACCTGGTCAGTTAGGATCCTTACCTTAACAGGAAACTTGAGTTGATTAAACAACTCAGTCACGAGGAGCGTGTGACTGAGCGTCTTACGGGTCTTCATGATACGAACAATAGCTGCGTCAATCTGCACATAGAACACAGTAGTTATACTCCATAGGAATAAGGCACAATGGTGGGTACGACTCTACAGGTATGATCAACTTCACATTTCTTTAAACAATATCAATACATTTTCAACTACGCAGGCGAGGAGAGTATAGAAAACCATCAGCTGTAGCGCAACCAATCAAAAGTATTTTAACTTAGAGTTAGGGATGGCACGAAGTATATCTTCGGTGTAACTAGAGAATTTAAGCAAATCACAACAACAATGGCAACGAGAATTCTATGGACGTGCGTTATAAATATTAGCACATTACTTTGTCACTCACTGCTATAAAACAACGCAAAACAACATATTCAGTGACGGGACGCGTTAAGACCAATTGCGTGCGAGTGAAAATATTTGATGGCTTATAAGTCAGGATATTTGCACTGAAAACATATCGACGTAATGTCCTTTTTAAGTCGTTATGTTTATGTTGTTATGTCGTTAGTGTGAACCAGTCTCCTATTATCGATATTCCGTATTTCTACGCACAATGTCACTCAGGCAGACCATAGTCAATACAGGGGATTGGTTATGAAACCCGACAAATTTCTTTGTTGTATGTTTTTGTTCTCTTTTTTGGCCTTGACCGTGCACAAAACTCAATATTAGTTTGCTTCGTACTGAGGAACTAACCAACAGAAACATTCTGGTTACGTAATTTATGCATAGTGTATGAGCGAAAAACAAAAGATTGTGCACTGTCGTGGACCTTCCAACAAAAATCTTGAAATCTTTGTTTGCTCCTTTCATGTTTGCCGGGCTTCATAACCATTTTCCTCTAAAAACTATGTGCAGACGACAACCCACTACTTGACTATCAGACAGACTAGAATTCAGAAAGATCAATAGGAACACACCACAGCTTCATGCAATGTATCAAACACTGACCCAGACACCACCATCCAAAAGAGAGGAAAAAGTACAAAAATAGCAACGAAAATCCACTCACTTGATACTGTCGATCTTGGAACACTCGTTCTGTTGTGTTGACGTTTTCCTCTTGCTAAGAAGGGAAAAAAATAGTTTTGGTTTTGAAGCAAACAACAGGCAGAAGCGACACACTTCTATCGCGCCAGGCTGAATCTTTGGTATGCTCAAAAGAGCTAGGGCAAGTTATTATATAGAGTACGGGTAGTCCCTCATTCTCTTTGTCCGTTGTGCGTGACGCGAAAGAAAACCGAGAGAAAAAGATGGCCGCGCGAAATCCTGGGAACAAGAAGCGCGCGAAAGGATTAAGCGCGGGAATTTTTCCTCGCAGTTTATTTACGGTTACTCTCGACGGACTAAGCGATAGAGGGACTACTTGTAGTCTGGCTCTTACACGAATTCTGTGTTACATACAAGAAGTTCGAAACAACATCAATAACGAAAAAAATACCCGTAGATTTTGTTTGAGGGCATGGCCACTAATCTATCTATCGTTTACTCTTAATTTTTTAATACAAGAAATAAAGGTTTAGAATACGGCGGTATATCGTAACTATCAGTTCGCAGATTATTTCCAAGCAATAGGAAGAAATCGCCTTGTGTCGCCGACGTAACCACACTGATTTTGGCGACGAGTCTTTTTCTCTCACACCGTGAGCACAGTGTGAACACACAGGCTTCATTCTCACCGTTTCTTTCATCTGTATCTGATTGATTTTGATTCGACAGAGTTTATGTTTAAACTCGTTGTTGAAGAAGAATTGATCGCCGTCATTTACATCACGGCCCTACAAAGAAAGGAGAGAAGGAAAACACGGTCAGAAGAAAGGAGAAAGACCCACAAGATGACATACAGTTTCTTATTATGGCTAGCTCCATGAGCGGGCACAATAAACTGAATCCTGCGCTGTGATTGGCTACCCAAGCTGCCGCTATCTTTCCCGCTCGAGATTACCCGCTGTGTCCCGCAAGAAAATAGTGTTTTTTTCCCTAAAAGATTTGTGACATCAGAGCAGGAAATTCTGTCACAACAATCACGTTCGCGGCTCCCTCGCAGAAACAAAGCACTCGCACGCAAAACATCGCCATCTACACCGACAAAACAGAGCGATTGCGCGACAAAAACAACCTGTTGAACGACTACCGCTGAGGCCCGCTATTGCGGGCTTAGAGCTCTAGTGTGGGTAGAGGGCCTGGATGGGTTTTAACTGCTCGCTGAGAATTAGAGAAACTGTTCAATGTCAGCTGAGGAATAATATAACGCGCTTTTTGCCAGATAATCAAGATCTGAGATCTGCAAAATTTACTGGGAGATGAGAAATTTGTTTAAATCATAGCTGAGACAAGTGAAAGTCCAGCACCCATTTTAGACTCTCTGGGTACATAAAGGACAGTGATAATCATCGAGTCTTGCGTACCTTGGGTTTCTTGATGAGAACACGCGCTTTACCACAAGCAAGGGACTGTAGTGTTCGTCTTAGTTCGCCATCCTCTGCAAAAACAACAAAAACCCAGTCAATAGCATCTCTCCTGTGTCACACTTCCTCTTCTTTTGCCGTTTTTCAGCAGTCGAGCCACCATCCTGAAAATTTTGATAACTGGGCAAACCGTTTCCTGGAACAATTAACTTGGCGATAAGTTGGAGCTGGACGATTGAACCTGAAAACATGTGGTCAGCGGGCCGATTGAGTGAACATGCGCAGAGTACTCGTTTACATGTCTTTTCTAAGGGAAAATCGAAGCTGGCCAGAATGTAGCTCAGAGACGACACGAGCGAAATACTGGCTGTCTCAAGTTTACAGAGAGCTCACAATCCGTCATTGTTTACTCAAGGCTAGCAGGGGTTATGAGATTTTACTGTACAAAGTTCTGTGCAATAATTTAGACTTAGGAGGTCATACATACAAGTAATCGAGTTTTGTTGTTGGTTTTCTTCTACCCATAGAAACAAACATTTCTAAATTCCAATTCAGTACGGAATCCAAGGGCCATAGGTTTGTCGGTAACAAGACTGTAAAGACGATTTATTTCAAATTTTACTGTATTTTTTTCCGCATAGCATTGTAAAGCTTGAAGTTCTCACCTATTCCCGTGGCTTGCTTGATCTCGTCCAGAACAAATCTCTCTCCTTCATTGAACATTAACAGCACCAAGGTTTGAAACAATGACACTTGAAGCTCCTTCTTCTCCTACAATGTAATAGAGAAACGTCTTACAATAGCTCACTTATTGAAACACAGATTGCAATCAGGTTTGGGAAGACAATCGTTTCGCTAATAAACATGACTAAAATCTTTCTTATTTATGAGTCTTTTAACACGTACATCAGAGGAGAAAAAAAACACAAGAGGAAGTTGGGTGAATTCGCTCACAAGCCATGGTTGATTTGAATACTTTTTAATTCTCCAAAAATTTGAGGGAGTCTTGAAGCATCAGGTCAAGGAAGCAAGCGGACTTTTTCTATTTTCATCATCGAAATAAAACCAACAAAATGCAATGACACGATATAACCGTGTTTTTATACAAAGCCTCGTGGCTCGTGCAAAATGACAACACAACCAGCCATAGCGCTCCTTCGCTCCCCAAGGGAATTGCACATGAAAAGTGGTGCCAACCCTTTATAAGCGAAACTTCGATTTTAACAAAGACTCGCCTCCGCGGTAGGGCCGAAGTCAGCCTTGACTACACAGTGTCCCAACGTATTCTGCCACTGAAGTTTTCTACCGCCATGTTTTCCAATGTAGAATGTCTTGAATGATTCTTGGTATTGAACCATCTGAAATCACAGACAGGGCAGTTAACAAGGGGTTCTACTTATGATATGAAGTCATGTAAGAGGAAGACTTCCAGAAAACATCAAAATAACCAAGTAAGCAAGTGTAACGTGGCTCATATAAGACATAAACATTTGTTTTTTTCTAATGGAAACTTTTAACTCAAATTTCCGTTCCCAAAACTGTATTGTGTTATGGTCTGAGGGTACAACTCAAATTTAAACTTAAAAAAAACCAAAATTGTTTCTCAAAAGGTGTTGTAAAAAGTGTGGACGACACAAGATTCACGAGCATTAATTGCACATTAATTGCACTTTGCACTGCTTATATAACGTTCCCAAAGACCATCCGAGTATTAGCTCCTTTCAAACTTTCTACCAAGACAGAATTGACATTACCTCAGACGGCAGATGCACCTCCACTGGAGTGTAGGTAGGCCAGTAGCCCATTGTCAAGATGCTTACTACCATGTCCACACTGCCTGGAAGGTCCTGGTGCTGTAGGTACTGCAAGGCAAAAGACGGCTGGTTGTAACATGTAAAGTTGTCGGGCAGGTCTGCAGTCGAACCTAGCGGACCAGCAGGCTAAGACTTAAGCACAAGGGACTAAGAATATGTCTACTCCTAGATGGCAGGATTTCCTCCCCGTCCCCCCGTCCCCTGCCTCCCTCTCCCTCCCCCATAAAATCCTTCATTGTTAACACGGCTTTGCAGGACCAGAGCTTGACATGTTGACGGGAAGTTTTGGAAATATCCCCTTAATCAGTCGTTTTTCATTCATTGTTACCATGTACCAGGGTGGAGAGAAGCACAGTTAAGTTGCACATGAACACAACAAAATGATCTCAGCTAGTGCTTGACACTTGACCGCTGAATCTGGAGTCCTGTGCATGCACTATTTATAAGGCAATCAATGTTCCTTACTGGTCTGGACACAATGTGCATTTAGTGTTAAGCCAGTGGCAAGAATCTAACACTGTTATCATAATTCAATTCCTGATTAAATTACCGGTTCTCCTTACTAACAACAACAACAACAACAATCCTTTATCCCTGTCTACTGACCCTCCTTACAGATATTACATAGGAGAATTTCGCCGCGCCAGTAAATCACTGCCGCATCTTGAAAGGCCCAACATCCGTGATAATAATTTACTTTTTCTGTCTGGTTTGGGACAATAATCTTCGATCAAGTGAACCTATAATACAGTTTAAATATCAACTCCAAACAACTTCCATGAACTTTTTGGTTTTCCCACACCTGTTTGAAGTGAAGAAGCACGTCCTTAGAAAGCTCCATGTCTTTAAACATTCCTTCAAGCTTGCTAGTGAAAGCTGCACCACATTCTTGTTTTAGTTTGGACAGCATTGACTTCTCTGCATCAACTGAAGCACTCTTGCCAACTAACAGTCTCTTGGCCAGGTCTTTCTTGTAGAATGCCTCAAACACATCTTTACCTACAGTAAACAGGACAATGAGATTAAAAAAAATAGGTCCGCAGTTCGTACATAGGGCCTAATACATGAACAAGTCATGTTAAGTCTGCATAGGGCGAAAGTGTGTCCTGTTGCTGGAACTAGAAGTACTGCACTTTTACTCTCCGCCCCCCCTGATAGGATGGAAGTCCATGGCAGGATAACCCTAGCATTCAATTTGCTGCCACCTTAAACCTCATATACTTGTCACTGTTTATGGAAATATGTTATTTAACAATTATCGACCATTCACAAGAATGTTACATGTATTTGACCCTTTCAAAGCCTTTTCGTGGTGATGAATATCAATATGACCCTTTTAAGTTGAATTGTAAGGGAACCTGTTTTCAACAGACACCCTGTATTAAGCAGACACTAATGTTCAAAGGTCCTGAGGGTGTCTGCCTAATACAGGTTTTACTGTACTTCATACCATGTATAAATCTGAAGAGCACCATTATTCTGTCTAAAAGCTTTTCAAGTTCCTCTTCAGTTGCTTCCTAAAGAATTTAAAAAAAAAATTGTTACAGTGAGCATGCTGCACTGTTATTTCCTTACTGACCACAAGTAAATTATGAAACATCAATTAAGCAAATCCTGTTGAAAATTTCCATTTTGTATGCAGTAACAACAAGAAATTTTTATTTACTCATATTCAAACAATAGTCAACTAGTGTAATCAACTCATTAAACTTGTTTACCTTGTTTCCTGCTCTTAGCTTGGAATCAACAAATTTTGCTGTCAGAGGTGAAGGAAAAAACAAATAAGTCA